CCGACTTTAGGCGGTCATTGATTGTCGTCCCACTCTATTTAGCTGTTGGCTGGTTGTATTCAGCTGTTGGCTGCACTTTTGTACATTTATGTGAGTTATATATTATATCTCTATCGTTTCGGTAATATATATATATATATATATATATATATATATATATATTATGTGAATTGTAACTGTTTTTTTAGTCAATAAAAATAATGAGAAAGAATGGTCTTGTTCAAATAGATAAGAAGACAAAATTGTAAACTATCACATGCAATAAATTTGGTTTTAATGTGCATATTTTATAATCTTCTTAAAAAAATATTTCGAATAAATAAGATAACTTAGATAAGGAAGATTTCTCAACTAAAATTTTCATGCAATCTTTTTTACCATGGCTAAAAAAATATTATAATTTGAAAATTATATTTCAAATTGCAATATATTTGACACTATTGATTATGTAATGTACTTCTTGTGTTTGATTAATTGAAAATAATAATGCAAAAATTGAATAGACCATAAAAATATGATTATATAAAATATAATTTAAAATCATATTAAAATATAAATTATGTATCACGTGCAAAACACGTCGAAGTTACTATTTTGTTAAAATGTAAAAAATATTTCTATATGACTTATTTTTTAACTGACATTCTAAATTTTATTTTTATTTTTTTTTATTAAATCCGCCTCGGTCTCGTCTCCGTCCGAGTTGTCTCCCATAAATGGCACCAAGTGTTTGGCGTTAAAAACATCAGACGTCCGAACATGCGAAGAGAGAGGAAGACGATAGACAATTTGGGTTGATTTTCTCAATCACTTCGACTGGCCCAATCTTCCGAGCAGATAACTTATTGTATTCATGGGCTGTAAACCTATCTTTCGTCAAAACGGCCCAAACAAAGTCACCCACCTCGAATTCAACGTTGCGACGCTGGGTGTCCGCCCCGAGCCTTATAAGCCGCCGTAGTTATCTCCAAGCGAGCCCGAGCCTCAGCATGTGTCGCCCGTAAATCCGAGACCAGGTCGGCGGCCCGTCGCTCCACGGCCACCGTGGATGGAAGCGCCAACAACTCCGAAGGGC